GATAGATAGATAGATAGATAGATAGATAGATAGATAGATAGATAGATAGATAGATAGATAGATAGATAGATAGATGATAGATACAGATACCGATACAGTATGGGTGGGTCACGTGATCCCCTTTTGCGACCTTCTGACAAGCAAAGACAATGGGGAAACCAATGGTGTTCACTTCACCAACCGTGCTACTAATTTAAGAGCTGTGGTGATTCACAGAACGGTCGTAAAAATGGAGCAAAATCTACTTAACAAATTAGCAACGTTTTGAGCTCAGCGGTGGTTGTAAGTTGAGAGCTACCTGTACTCAGCTGGAATAATTGTTTCTGTCGGGCCTGCAGCCCTCTTTCTTTTGGACCTGCCACACTTTCTATTACTCTACTATGCATTTTCTACGGTGGGAAAATGGGAGGGAGGAATGTACGGAGTTAGATGATATGCAGCCATAGCAACATTCTTTCTAGAAAGCCAAGGTCATCCTTTGTCTCTGCACCTGACCGGATCTGGATGGGAGGAATCTGTCAGCATGGCACTGGGAGATTGGACCATGTGGGTGTGGGTGTGGGGGAAAGATCTTGAACTTTCAACTGGGTGGGGAAAACCGGGAAGCTTTCAGATTCGGGTTTTCCCAGATGTGCCAACGTGGCTCTCTTCATTAATTGGAGCTTTGAGCAATACTTTGCCTTGGATTCTGATTTACTTGTGGAGGCTATTTGGAACTGTATTATAGTCTGTGATTCTTCTTTCTGCTAGCACATTGACTGCGTCATTCTTGATGATGGGGGTTTTCTTTTGATGACAAACCAAGACAACTATGTCCCAGAGGTACGTGACTGAATTAAGCCTGATGCAGAATACCTTATTATATATTTTTCAGAGTATAAGACACACTTTTCCCCCCCTAAAAGAGGGTGAAAATTTGGGTGAGTCTTATACACCAAATGTAGCCAAAAACACGAGCACGGGGGAGGTGATGGTTTGTGGCAATCCCCGTGGCCTGGAACAGCTGATTGAGGATATTCGGGGGGGGGCGATCCACCCGACAATCAGCTGTTTATGCTGAACCAGGCTGCAATAATCCCACCTGGCTGTTCGCTCTTTGCTGCAAGGACGTGTCAGAGTTTGTAGCAGCAATCACATTCAGAAAGCACAGCACCAGTAACCAATTCAGCAGGATTCAATAACTTCTCTTGATATATAATATAACACATTAAGTAAATATACAATGCCAAAAGCAGGTTTTCCAACATGGTAGTTCAGCAGAGAAGTTTCACTTTCAGTTTTAGTTTCAGATACCAGCACAGTAGAAGCTTTAGTACAGAACAAGCCACGCCCAGGCTCCTCGCTGTCTCCTTCCTTGTTGCTCACACAG